TTTGCTTCTGTGAAGATTGACAGCCTTGGAGACCCTGTGGGCAGTTCCACTCTGTCCTCTAGGGGCGCTGTGGGTCAGAATGGACTCCACAGCAGTGGGTGTGGTTTGGGCTTTGCTTCTGTGAAGACTGACAGCCTTGGAAACCCTCTAGGGCAGTTCCACTCTGTCCTCTAGGGGCGCTTTGAGGGGAATTGCCTCAGGGGCAGTGGGTTTAGCCTCACTGAGATGCAGTAATCACCCCCAGGATGGTTTTGAGCCCTCCCACCTCCCAGGTGCTGGGCTAGACCCTTGGGTGTGTTGTCTCATTGAGTGCTTCCCAACTTGTCTGTGAGGTGGACAATACTGTCCCCACTTTACAGATGAAGACAAATGCTCACCCCAGCCTCCTGCTGCTGCTCAGGGCAGAGCCAGGATTGATCCCTGGTCTCTGTGGCTCTGGGACCTGGGACAAGATACCTCCCCTGGGATGTGTGGGTGGCAGCCAGAGTCACCACAACTGTGCAAGCCTTCAAGGCAGATGTTTTGCCTGACAGCACCTGAACCCCACCACCAATTACATGTACAGAAGCCCCCAACAGGGCCCGCAGAGGCCTTGAGGCAGAGATGTCACACTCAAAAGCCATCACAGGTGACCCAAGGCTGCTCACTGGCTGTGCTCTTGCCCCATCCCTGCCCTGACCCTTGGACACACCGCCTATGGTGTTGGCTGGTCCCTGCCCTGACCCCTCCCTCATGGTACCCCATAAAGCCCAGTAACATTACCTCCCTGTTTGGTACCTGTGGTCTTTACCCTGGAGGGCTGGGGCAGGAGTGGGTGTGGGGAGGCAGTCGGGTTAGAGTTTGGGGAGGCCACCCCTCACCTGTCCGGGGTGCTGGGGCTAAGTCATCAAATGCTGGCCCTGGTCTAAAGCCATGATGCCTTTGAAGGCCCTCGTCTGAGCTGTGTCTCTGTCTTTTCCTCCACAGATAACTGGGGGCTCCTCTTCTCAGACCAAATGAATTGCAAGTTGCCACATTCCACGGTGGGGCCGCCCAGCCCTTCCAGTCGCCAGACCTGCAGCTCTGCTGGCCCCTGCCCCAGGAGCAAGGACCACTGTCATCACCCTTGAAAGCCTGTCACCCCGCAGCAAATGGGAGGCCTGCAGGCACCCCGAGGGGCAGAACATCAGTTCTGAGGGGCCTAGGGGGCCCAGTAGGGGCCGGTGCCCCCGACAGAGGTTGGAGCCACCCCCATCTGAGCGGTCAAAAGGGACACGTCATGGTAGAAGGATGGGGCCATGGCCGGCAGAGCCAGAAGGGCACTACCTGCCCCAGCGCCACTGCCTCCCCACCACCCTCCCCTCCAAAGCAGGCCATTCTCGTCCCGCTCAGGCTGGGGACTTGCTCTCTTCCCACCTTTCGTGATGGGAAGTTTGGACTGTCTCCCACCCCCTCCACCCACAGACAGGCGGCTAAGCCAGACTCTTCAGCCAAATCCTCAGCTTTCAGTCCCCCTCATCCCCGAGCTCGGCTGCCCCTGCTCCTTTATCCGCTGGCCATGGCCGAAGCCGGAGCGGAGGTGACAGGTCCTCTGCCCAGCTCACCCTCCCGGCCCTGTCCTCCTCCAGTGCCCTTTCACATGTACCACCTGGCCCCCAGGTGCTTCAGCGGACAGGTGGATGGAGCAGCAATGTGCAGTGTTAGTGCCCCGGGCCTGGCGGGCTGCTCTGGGCTAGAGAAAGGGCTTATCGAGTGCCTCAAGAGGCTGGGCGTGGCTGAGTGTCCAGAAGTCCTATAGGTGGACATGGGCGGAGCCTAAGGATGTGGGTCATCTCGCTGTTGTCCCCAGGTTCCAAGGGCGAGGTGCGTGTGAGTGTCTGTTTTGGGGGGTGGTTGGCAGGCTTTCCTTGTGGTAGAGAAGGGGGCTGCTGTGGGGATCTACGTGGAGAGTGGTTAATTATGAGCTCACCATACGTCCCTGCTTTGTGATGGTGGTGACACCAGGGCAGGGGCGGATGTGGGGGGACAGTCGGAGTGAGGTGGGAGAATCTCTTAGGGCCCCATATATGTGCGTGTCACCCCCCCACGCCGACCTGCCCTTCCTCCTCACCCATCAGTCTGAGAGGCAGCCCCACTAGGTGGGTCACCCTAGTCCCAGCCCCTCCTGGCCCCCTTGGCATGGGACAGGTAAGAGAGAACCCCAAGGAACACCACAGACCTCTCTCTGGCCTGTTTTGGGGGGCCCTCCCAGACACGCCTGTATTGGGGAGTTGCCCTCCTTACGTACCCCCAGAGCTGGGGCTTGAAGGAGGCGGTCCTTCTCACCACAGGGCACTGAGGGCTTGGCTGTCCCCACTGACACCCAGAACCTACCCAGTCCCATCCCGTATTCCCTGGGCCTGGGGCCACTCCAAGTGCCGATTGTCCTCCATGCCCCAGGCGCCGGCCTTTCCCTCCCACTCAGCCCCTCCCAGCTCCTCCCACTGGGTGGGAGGTTCTGCCATCCCCACTGCTGCCTTCTAACCACTCCCTCAGCCTCATGATGATGTTTGGAGAGAACATTCTACATCACTGTCATGCCTGCGTCTTGTTCTTTAGTCACTTGGGGATGGGGGGAGGGGCAGAGAGTGAGAGGACGCATATGGGAGAGGTCTTCTCTGCGCCTGTGAGGACATGGCTGCTCCTTGGAGGAGGTCCTGGAGCCTGGGATGGACTGTTGGGCAGGACCCTCCTGCCCCACTGGGTCTTGGAAGGGCCCTCCCTCATTCCTAGGCCTTCAGTTCCAGCCTTGTTCCTGGGTCTTGCTAAGGGGAGGATAGTTCTTCCCCCTCTCCCACCCAGAGCCTGCCTGCCTGGGCTTCTCCGTGGATGGGTGACACTCCAGAGGCTGCCACCCTGTCACCTAGGCCCTGGGCCCATGAGCCCTGTTCTCAATGCCCTGGCCTGCCCTTGGGAAGCCTCCAAGGGGCTTCCATTTCCCCGTGGTCCTCACCAGGGCCCTATCCCCAGAGAGCTCTTGGGGGCAGCCTGGTTTGGAATGCCCTCTTGCCCAGGGGAGGGGCTCTGGTGGTGCAGTGGTTAAGTGCTTGGCTGCTAACCAGAAAATCAGTGATTTGAACCCACCGGTTGCTCCACGGGAGAAAGACGTGGCAGTCTGCTTCTGTAAAGATTTACAGCCCAGGGAATCCAATAGGGCAGTTCTACTCTGTCCTGTTGTTGTTGTTATGTGCCGTTGAGTCGGCCCCTACTCATAGCGACCCCTCCTTGGGTTTCCGAGGCACTATCACTACGGAAATAGGATTGCCCAACCTTCCTTCTGAGGAGTGGCTAGTGGGTTTGAACCGCCAGCCTCCTGGTTAGCAGTCAAGTGCCTTAGGCACTATGCTACCAGAGCTCCTTACTCTGTCCTGTAGGGTCACTATAAGTCAGAATCAACTCAGCGGCGACAGATTTGGTTTTGGTTCTCTCCCAGGGATGAGGCTCTAAGCTAATGGCCTTGTTTTCTTGGTCAAGTCCAGGAAAGGGCCCAGAGCTATCTTGTTCCGTTCCCTAGGGTGCTGGGCCAAGTACTCCTGCCATGGGGTGCTCAAGACAAGCCCTCCCGGAAGCATCCATCAGAAAAGTTCCCAGGATGTCAATTCAGGCAGGTTGCTTAGCAACCATTGAAGGACTCTTGGGTCGCCTCCCTTCACTTTACAGACGGAAAAGAAGGCCACAGAGGGAAAGGGACTTGTCCACGCTGGTGCAGTCCCAGAACGCAGACTTAGGACAGCTGTGATCCTTATCTCCAGACTCCCAAGGGTCACAGAGACCAGAGCCCTCAGACACGCCACGGGCTCAACTGCCCTGCGACCCCTGCTGGCCACCCTGGTTACTGCACCTACCTCAAGAAAAACCTGCTCTGGGCTGCTGCAGGGAAGGGCATGGGATGAAATGACAGGAGTGGATTGGCGCTTCGGGGTGGAGGCAGAGACTAACTGGACACAGCAGGAGCGGGGTCTCCAGTGGGTTAACGTAGCTCGAGGGTGGAAGCCAGGGGCATCAGGAATAACAGGCACGACTCCAGGAAGCCAGAGGGGACTTGAAACACAAGCAAAGGGAAGATTTCTCTACATGGTAGGGACTCAGCTGTCACTCATTCTCCTAAAAATTTAGACCAAGGCTAGGGAGCTTCTAAAAAGTTGAGAATGATTAATGAATGGTTCATCGTGTTTTGAGCATTAGAATCTGGTAACAACATGGAACCCACTGCTGTCAAGTCCATTGCGACTCACAGTGACCCTGTAGGGACAGAGTAGAATTGCCCCATGGGGTTTCCTAGGCTGACATCTTTATGGAAGCAGACTGCATCCTTGTCCTCCCACAGTGCATGTCTGTCGTGGTCTTTGAGATAAGTCAGGCTTATATGGGAGGTGGCTGGAGGCAGCCAGATCTGGGTAATAAAACAGATTCTACCCCTTTCCAGCTGTGTGGCCTGGGATAAGTTATGCAACCTCTCTGAGTCTACTTCCTCCGCTGTAAAATGAATACTCTAATGAAAGCCTTAACCCCATAGGTTATTATCAGTGTGAAGTGATCATGCATATAAAGGTCACACTGCCTCACGTTTCACGCAGTTGACCCAGCCCAGTAGGTGAGCCCTAGCCAGTCACCTCTCCCCAGCCCCACATGATAGACAGTGAGCCACCACCTAACCTACAGACATCACTCGAGGCATCCCCTGCTGACCAGCAGGGGGCGTTGGCAATCCAGCCAGTGGTCAAGGAATAGAGATGGGGGGTCAGCTAGCCAAGAGTGAGCCCACATCCAGGGAGAGGAACCCTCCCACCAAGGAAACCAGAGCTGATCTTGGGCCATCCGAGGAGGTGGCCATCTTTTCTGGGGAGGGAGTAGCAGACACATTGCCCTCTGGCTCTGTTACACCCCTGCCTGAATGTGACCGTTTATCACAAGTTTCCCCTCCTCCAGGGAGGTAGAGAGGCGAGGGATTCTGAGCCCCACTCCACGAATCAGATAGCTTACATGGTGCTCTAAGGTCCCACAACAGTGGGTGAAGGACAATTTGGGCTTTCAGGCTCCCTGACGTGGGTCTCTTGGACTGCCCTGCTCTCCAGGGTGACCTTTTAAGTTTTCACTTGAAATCAGTGTATTGAGAGATCCCAGGGTGGCAAGCTTTCATGTTGACACTCGAACACACAGTGGAGGCACACCCTATAAAATACGTGCTACACTGTCATCATTATCCCCATTTTACAGGTGGAATCATGGAAGCTCAGAGCAGTGCTGGAATCTACCTCAGGTCACAGAGGTAGCAGGTGGGTGAACCAGGCCTCAAACCAGATTCCCTTGATCCTGGAACCTGTAAGTCCAACCACAGAAGGCCTGTGGTGGCCCTCTCCCGCATCCAAGCGCCTGTACCCTTTGGTGGACTTTGTCTTTGATCTGGGGTTCCCTTGACTTGGGCATGTGCCAAGGTCAGTGAGTTGGGTGCAAGCACGCTTGCTACCTCAGGAGTCCAAGCACATAGTCTGACCCAGAGCACCTGCCTGCTCTGGGGGACTGGGCATGAGAGGCAGGACAGGGTCGGGGCCACTGGACAGGAGGTCTGGGAGACTGCCACGGTGGAGTCTGAGACCAGAAAGTCCGCCTTTCCCTGCCACCCTCTGTCTCCCAGTCTCTCGCTCTTTCTCCAGCCCATTTTTCCCTGTTACCCTGGGTCTCCAGTCAGCCTCTTTTCTCTTCTCTGTGCACCTCCGGGAACTCTTGGGTTCTTAGGTGCAGTTGCAGAACCAATGAAGGCATGTCTGGATGCCATAGGGAATGTGGACCTTCAGGGATCTTTAGACCTAGGTCCAAATCCTGCATCTGCCACTGCCCGGCAATGACCTTGACTGTTGGTAACCTGTCTGCATTTCCTTTTCCATAAAATGGAGGTAAAGATGCCTTCCCTGGGCTCATTGGGAGATCAATACCATAACTTTGCCTGGTACATAGTATGTGTGCAGCTTGGGGCTCCAGGCCAAGTCTCACTTCCTGTTAGTAGTAGTAGCAACATTGACCCCGGCCCTGGGAGGCAGGCACTTTTCTGATTTCTGTTTGTCAAGTGAGGAAACTGAGGCATAGAGCTGCCTGTAACGCA